TGGCGGTGGTCCATGATGATCGGTGGTGTGCAAGCAAAAGCAAGGATAGAAACAAACACCGACCACGAATCTCCTAAAATACGGATGTATGTTATCCGGACTCGATTTCGTGCAAGCCAGCTTGCACAAAAAATATTTACGACCAGGCCCTGAGAATTCCAGTTGCACATGTCCAACAACACATGGTGAGGCACTGACCAGTCTGCAGGGTCGACACCTCCTACGTTGTGTGGCAGGCCGACGGCCGGCATCCCACTTGCGCCATCCGAGCCCCGCGCCGTGCTAACCGCCAATCGTCCCCCAACACTCGACTGACAGTGTCCACAAGACTTAGGGATGCATGAGAGCTCTCTTGCGAACAGTATATATATCCGGACTGTTAAAGGTGTGATGTTGGTGGAGTTTGTTTGGGGCAGCGCATTGTCTTTGGTGCATCGAGTCAGAAGGTTGGTCATGCAAACACTGACACCAGCGGACTCTTCTCGATGCGTTGGGCAATGTCAAACTAAGTTGGTCAATCAGCCACGATCGCGTGGGGGATGGGCTCATGTGTAAACCCAGGTCACAATGTTCCTTCGGTTGGAGACTCGACAGTTGCAGACCGTGGTCGAGTGGGGGACTCCACTTCTGGCGCATCGGTAAGATGCTCTTTCAATCCAACAGGGGATTGTCCAGAGGCATTCAGAGATTTGTTGCTAGCTCGGGGAGTATGGGGCGAATGTTGTACGCAGTCGACCGCCCGTTCAATAAACAAACCCTGTGCACTGTCGATACTGTACACCCATTGCCGCACGTGAGGGGGGCAAGGGTGCCCACGTCTTCCCGCAACACTGCGCCAAAGGCATGCTTGCGCTGACCCTTCGCCCCCCGCTCCCGCCACCACGACAAGATGATTGAGCAAACATCACTCTAGTTCGGTTGTCATCCTAGACCTCCAACTCAATGTTCGCAACCCGCGTCGAGTTCAAGACCGCATCGGCTTGAACGGGCAGCTTGTGGCAGGCACCGCAGCGTTTAACATGTAGAAAACTCAGCCTCAGAGCCTTATAGACTCAACTACTTCATGCGGGATCGTTTCACGTGCCAAGAATCGTCACTGACGACTGTGTTAAGAACAACTCCACCAAAATAAAAAGCGGAAGAGACTGTGCCCATGACACCCTCACGCATTTCCACAAGTCTTTTCAATGGGCCATCCGTTCACTGTCAGAACCACAAAGCACCTTCAGAAATGTCCCCTCAATGAGACACTGTGACGCCGCGGCAAAGTAGCTAAGCCGATAGCATGCGATACACTTGCGCCATCCACCCCGCGCTCCATTGTCCATCAGCGTCATAGAATGCCGACGGCGTTTGTGTTGGTACATATCGTTGCCATTGTCGAAACGAAATGGATGGAGACTCGACTCATTACATGCCAGGGGCTTCATTCGAGCACCTTGTCGCGTTGACGCCTACGCAGCCTAGGGTGGTCGGGACGCGATCGTCACAGGTTCTAGAGCTCCCCAAGCTTTCGAAGGGCGAGGCGAGGGTGGGATGGACCCATCGATATGTGCACAATCGCCGCCAAGCGGGGGCGCTTGCCCTGTACGGGCTGTTATGCGGCTTATCGTTCTGGTGGAAGTGCTCGCTGTTTCCATGGGAGCCTTTGGTGGGGTACGGCATGTGCATCGCCAAAGGCAGCGCCCAGGTGGTCGTCGTAAATTGCTGTGTGGCCCTACTGCTCCTCAGCCGATCCATTCTTCATTTCATCAAGGCCAAACCCTTCCTCTGGCGGATCTTCCCTCTCGAAGATCACATGGTCCTCCACAAGATCTCCGGTGGAGTCATGTGTCTGTCTGCGTTGGTCCATACTTCTGCGCACGTTGCGAACCTCGTCAATACGTACTCGGCCGACCCCACCGAGCTCCAGTCGTCGTATTACGTTCGCCACATCCCTCTGTTTCTTGTGGGATTGCCCCCCTTCGGCAACGTGGTCCGAGCCATTCCCATGTGGACAGGAATCGTCCTGCTAGTCCTCCTGTTCATTGCGCTACCCCCCACGCTCCTTCCAAGCGTCCGGCGGCGATTCCACAATGTATTTTGGTGCACCCATCTCTTCCTCATACCATTTTTGATCGTGACGTGCTTCCATGGAGCCACGGGGTGGTTTCAAATGCCCCAAGCGTTCCTGTGGATTGTGCCCCCGCTGGTCTTGTACGTTTTGGAGCGGCGACTGCGATACTTCAAGCGGTGGACAACCCCCGTCTTGATCCACGAGGCCAAGATCTTTCCCGACGCAATCGCGCTGGACCTCATCAAGCCGCCAGAGTTCTCCTTTGTGCCTGGGATGTTTGTTTACCTCAACGTGCCTGTTCTTGGGCGCCATGAATGGCATCCGTTCTCGATCTCGTCGGCGCCGGACGACCCGCATTTGAGCTTTCGCATCCAAGCGGTGGGCGATTGGACAATTGCCTTACTCCAGCGTTTGCAAGTGGCCTCCTTTCTGGACGAACCATGGCCACTCGTTCACTTGGACGGGCCAGTGGGCGGGCCCACAGTCGAATGCCGTCGATTTCAAGTCGTGGTGCTGATCGGAGGCGGGTCGGGGGTAACGCCGTTTGTGTCTGTTGTCCGCGACTTCTTGAATTGTCCGCCGTTGGAGGATGGCACGAAAAAGATGTATTTTCACTGGGTCACGCGGCACGAGAGCGCTTTGGAGTGGTTTGACACAACGCTGCGCGATCTAAATGCGCATGGCCATCCTCGCTTGGACGCGCGTCTGTACGTAACCCAACCGAACAACGAGGTGGAGCAAGCCGCGCACCACCACCAGTTTCGAAACGAACGGCCAAGGTGGGTGCCGATTTTTGACGAGCTCGAGCGCGACCACCCGGAGGCAACGGTGGGGGTGTTTTACTGTGGGCCACACGCGCTCGAAGTGGAGCTCCGGGCAATCTGTCGCGCCCGGCACAAGGCGACATTCTACTTTTACGCCGAATCGTACTATTGAGAGCAATTTTAAGCTAACAAGGGCTTGGTTCGTCGGATGGCCCAGTCGTAGTTGCCCCAGAAGCCCCATCCAGCCATAAACCGCACGTAGTCGAGCAGGCACCAGTCGAAATGACTGCGGAACAGATCGCATGTGTAGCCGCCGCTGTTTCGACCATTCGATGCCATCGCCCCTTCAAACTCGTCGAAGTACCACCGCAACAAGTCGTCTGCGTAGTTGGCCACTTCGGACCGCCCTCCGCTCGAGCACAGCAAGTACGCGACGTCCTTTGCGCCGAGCCCCCGACCAACGTATTGAAAATCGACCCATGCACACGTTGTGTCATCGCGCCACAGCATGTTGGCCGACTTGGCATCGCCATGCAAGAGTGTTTCGAATCGAGGGTCTCGACATCGCTGGTCAATGGATGCCGCTTGAGCACGCAGCTTGACGGACAACTCATCGTTCCCCAGCGCCTCAAACTCTTCCTGCCGAGTGGCCAGATACCAGTACCCGCCGTTGTCAGCGACGCCATCGTCGCTGTAGTTCCAGAACGCGGCGTGGAAACGGGCGAGCCAAGAGAGGGCAGCGCGGAGGGTTGGGCCGCCAAGGGAATGGAATGTTTTAGGAAAGTCCACCGACAAGTCCTCAAGGACGAAACAAAACGAGCCGTCCTCACACACGACCGCATGCGTCCGAGGCAAGCGCGGCAACGTAGATGCCGCGGACAGGTGGCCATAAAAGTACCCCTCGACTTGGTATGACCGGACCTTGCGGGCGTTGGAGACAGAGAGCGTGTCGTTCTGCGGTGGCGAAATGTGCTTGACAATAACCGACACGCCCGAGCTCAACCTGACGCGGTAGATGCTGCCGTATCCAGCCCACAGAGAGCATAGCTCTGTTTTCCCGACCACAGAATCGTCGGGAAAGGCATCGGTGACCGTGTCGGCCACGAGGTTCGACGCGTTGGCCGTGCTGCAGGCAGGATGTTTGCGGCCCATCCACGCGAAAAAGGACGCCAGCGATGGATTTTTTCATTGGTTCGTGGACAACGCATACAAGGATGAAGTGAACTCGTTGGTGGGATGTCCATCTTTGAGCGCCTGCGTCTCAGCTCTGGGAGCCGATGCGTTGTTCTGGCACGGAGAACGTCGGCTTTACGTACCAAACTCGCTGGTGTCTGCCTTTGCGGCATGCATGAGCGGTGACAAAAGCCACGGCAACAGGTTGTTAACCGTTGATGAAATGCTTTTCTCAATTTATCGCACGACGACGCAAAAGAATCGCTTGTAGGGTAGCAAGACCGTCCCGTCCTCTAGCCGCGGATACGCCGTCGCGATCAAGTCCTTGTACGTGTCCATGAACACAGGACGCTGCGATGGAGTAAGTGCGTCGACGTATGGACCGAGCCCGGAGGACGACACGAAATCCACCACAGGGTGCACGCCTTCGCCACCTGCCAATTGGTACACGTACTCGGTACTCCACAGATGCACCTCGCTCGCTAGCGGACGCAGGAGGTTGTAGTACGCATCCGCATTGACGTCGGTAGTGACCCAGCGCACTTTGGACACGTCAAAGCCGACGTGTTTGGCGGCTTCGCCCATGAGGACGTGGCTGGGTTGTTGCCGTGTGTCTGGCATTTGAAAGGCAAGGACGCCGCCTACGTCGTTTAGAGTAAGAGTTCGTGTAGAGCAACCGAACCGTGGCGATCCGAAGTACCTGGCTTTAAGAACGACAGCAAACGAGGGAGGAGGGTCCGGTGAACATCGAATGAGACCCAATGCAGTGCTGCGTTGGAGTAGATGACGTCGATGGGGGCATCGCTGTGGAACGACTCAAAGTTTCCTTGGACGTACTCCACGTTGTCAAGGCCTTGGGCGACGTGGCTTTCCTTGGCCGATGTAAGCATGCTTTGCGACGCATCCACGCATTGAATCGTCGCATCAGGCCAACGTTCACTGCATGGACGCATGCACGGGTCAGTCATGTTGCAAGGAATTAACCAACATGTACCGGAGGAAGGGAGTGAGGTTGCCAGGCCCGCAGCCGAGGTCCACAACGTCGGAAGCAGTCGAAGGGAGTTGAATGGCCTGCAGGAGATCCAGGGCTGGCCGCAACCGCTGCGCCCCAAATTTCATGTAATGAGACGGCGTCCACGATCGAAGGACGCGCGGGGCGCTTGATGCGGGCATGGCAGCTACACGTCAACTTGAGAAATGAGGTGCCGAGAGACAATGGCCGTCGGAGCAGCCGTGACAATCTTGGTCAGGTGATGATGGGCATGTGCAAACTTGGCAACACGCCCGTCAACGAGACAAAATATTCGCTCAAAGTAGCTTTCATGGATTTCGTTTGAAAATATATGCATATTTCGAAATATATAGGATTTCTCAATATTCAAATTTATGGGGATATCCAATTAGTTTCCAATCAGACGTCATCCGATGGGGTTGTTTACGAAGCATAAAATCAACGTACATTCCACCAATCAAACTCTGTCATTTGGAAGTAGGGGTCGGTCTAGGTTTTATAGGTTCAATTCATCGAACACCAAGTTGGCCGTTCGAATGCCGTCGTCGTCCCAGTCGCAAACACGCCGTTTACGTTCTCAACACCGCTGATGGAATTCAATCCCCAACGAAGGTGCCGTTCATCACATAATGTTAGACCAAATAGCACGTGTGATCGCCTTGGGCTTGCAAGAGTATGCCCTCCGCCTCCTTGCTGGATACTTTGGAATGGCTGGAGGCTTTATCATTCAAACCGCTGTACCGAAACATCGCGTTGGAACCTCCTTGCCACCTACTCGCGTCCCATAGGCATGGCTGCACGCACGTAATGGTCGATGGCATTGAACACAACGCCGTAAAATCCTGAACTTTTGAACGGCCAAAGAACATTGACACCAATGTACAGCCCTGTTAAAATCCACGACGGCCTGCATCATGTCCTCCACATTGTCGTATCTCACGTTTATGCAAAAGTTCGGATACATCCGGTTAAGTTCAATATAGGTCGATATTTACGACAGGTCATTCCGACAGTGTGAACTAAGCACTTTGGAAAATTCGAAGATTGAGCGTGCGTGTTTTTATCTAGGGCAATTGGCACAGGAGACCAAGGAACCCCCTCTGAATCTGTGGCCCACTTCTCAAAATGAGTCAAGCCAACAAGTGTGCCTTGGTTACCGCCGGTGTCGTCGGCGGCGCTGCCGTCGGGACCCTCCTCCTTCGCTCCGCAATGTACCCCATCATGACATACCGCGCGGAGACTTTCTTTGTTGAAATGCTCAAGCAAGCGGACATCATCATCGGCCGCGACATCATCGTACACGACAAGGAAATCTACCTCGACTGGTCGAAGCGAGGCATGCTCGCGATCGGTGAATCCTACATGGCCAAGCAATGGGAAGCGTTGCTGCCTTTGGACGTGGTCTTGACCAAGTTGCTCAAACTCCCGTCGGACGCCAAGCGCAAGCTGTTTAAGAGTTGGGACGCCAAGTTTGTGCACTTGAGTGGCCGGGTGTTCAATTTTCAGTCGCCTAGTCGTGCTGGCATCGTCGGTGCCCACCATTACGACATCGGGAACGACTTCTACAAGTTGTGGCTTGACCCGTGGATGCAATACTCGTGCGCGTACTTCAAGGATCTCCCTGACACGGACTTGGACAATGCCCAAGTCAACAAATTGCACTTGATTGCCAAGAAGCTCAAGATGGAGCCTGGCATGACCGTACTGGAAATCGGTTGCGGGTGGGGTGGCCTCGGCATATTCTTCGCCAAGCACTACGGAGTTCACGTGACGGGCATCACAATCTCGAACGAGCAATTGAAGGGCGCCCGCATCCAAGCCGAAGCTGAAGGCGTCAGCCATTTGACCCAATACACGTACTGCGACTACCGCCAGATGACGGGTCAATTCGATCGAGTGGTGTCGATCGCCATGTTGGAAGCTGTGGGTTACAAGAACATGGACGAATACTACTCGGTGATCCAGCGCTGCCTCAAGACGGGTGGTCTCGCGTTGGTCCACTCAATTACGTCCAACCGCAGCACCAAGACGGCCCACCAACAATGGATCCTTAAATACATCTTCCCCAACGGGTTCTTGCCGTCCCTTACGCAAATGTGCGAGTTCGCCGAGAAGAAGTTTGTAGTCGAAGACGTCCACAACATCGGCCCGGACTACGACAAGACCCTCATGCAATGGTACGCTCGGTTCCAAGAACACGTTCAGAACGGCAACATCGTCAAGGACGAAGTGTTTGTCCGCATGTGGGACTTTTACCTCAACTATTGCGCTGCTGGTTTCCGCGCCCGCACGATTCAATTACACCAAGTTGTGTACTCCAAGCACCGTGCCGGTCGCTACGACGCCGTGAGATAGACATCCTGCAGGTCCCAGTGATCCGTTGTAAACCACCCAAGACTTGTATCCGCTCTTCGTGCGTTGGGCAAAGGCCATTGGCTTAACATCAGCCAATGGCATCTCGTTAGTATTGAAATGCATGCATTCACCAATCAAGTCTCTGCATTTTAGCCTATTTTATCCAATGAAACATCCAGCAAAGGTTGCTCTCGAATGTCCACACCGAGTACCAAGCTTTCGCGTCCGGGCATCGATCACTCGACAGCTCGTCGTATCTACCCATACTGCCAGCTCACTTTGACCGTTGGCTGGTCTGTGCTTCTTTCAATTTTCAACGCTGTACTTAGACGACTAAGAAGGAAATGCAGCGTGGCCGACGAAGGCAGCTTCGCGCGACCTCTAGAACACTACTACGTGTCAGGACTATCAGAAATTCTCGAATGAAGGCACAGCGTTTGGTTAGCATGTTGAAAAGCGCCCACATCGTTCGGACGTGTTGTCTAGGAGTCTGTACGCAGGCCAGTACTCGGTGTCCCCATTCTCGTTGATATGCACGAGCTGTGGGTTTCGCACCGTGTTGTGGACGCTACCCAACGACGTGTACCCTTGGTCGTACAATGCGCAGTATTCGAGCTTGAGTGACCGCAGGAATAGCCACACGTAGTCGTATCGCCACTGCAAGATGGGATTGACTCTGAAAAACGCTGGCCACCCTGTCGAGCTCGGTGAAAAGTGTTCAAGGTCGTCCGTGCCGGGATCGCCCCGGCGCACCCCCATGACGAACGCTTGCGTCTTTCGTTTGGAAATGATGGATTCGATGCCTTGAACGTAGCTGCTCGTCTGCATTTCGCACTGGAAGCCATACACTTCAATGCATTGGTGGATGAACTCGGTGACTTGTGGAAACTGGTCTGGTGTGTCAAAGTACATCACAGGAAGTTGATGTAGCAACGATCGATACACATCATCAAATTCTGCTTCGGACGCTCCAGGTTGGCTTCCCAGCGCCCGCTTCGCCAGCACCAGTCGCAGCAAATGCAACACGACAGTCGAATCTTTGCCGCCGTTAAAGCTGAAACACATGCGGTCCAGGGAGAGGATATCAATGGCGCGGTTCAGCACTTCGACGGACCGATGGAACGCCTGTCGTGTGTCTGCATCCACCGTCTCGCACAGCTCGTCGAAGCGGCGTATGAGGTCCATCGCAGCGAACGTGGACGTCGGCGGGAAAATCGAAAAACCACATACTCCGTTGTATCTCACGTCCTATCCGGATAAGCAGCCTGGAACTCCGGCGACGATTTACAGCCAACTCGTCCTGGAGCCTCGCAGCAGTGGGTCGTGCGGACGAATGTGGGCAGCCTTCAACGTCCCGAGAGCCACGGTGATACGCATAACAGAGCGATATGCGAGACAGGCTGCCGTGGTTGGTGCTGGTGGCCAGGCCATTGTCGGTGGAGGCATTGCTGGTCAGGAACGATTCAATGGTCATCATGTGTATTGTCGGCGTTCACCTTTTCGTGGGCATGCATGCTTGTTTGACGCTCTGGTCGTTAGTAAAAGCGATGGGCTCGTTCACTTTCGTCGGCTAGTGTTTATCTCCATGCCATCGACAAATCGCCGCAAGTCTTACCTTCAATACCATCCATGCACTCGCACAGACAAAGCTACGAGCTGTGCAATGCCTTGGGAACAGATATCTGTTCATGTGGGGTGTATGCAGCGGTTGCAGAAGGCCGTTCACTGCCTCGTGCTGCATTTCCAAGTTTCTGCACGAAGGACAACAGTCTATGGACTTTGATATCCGCGGGCAATAGAGGAACACAGTTCTGTCGAGGGTGTCCGTCACCAACAAAACGCCAGAAAACACACGCTGCTATGCTCCAAGCCGCGACTGGGACTATTGATACTTGACGGGTGCGATTCGCCGTCATGCCCCAACCGTTGGCAACAAGAACGGTGAGCATAGTTTTGGTATCAAGTTGCCAAGCAGGGTGCAAGTTGGGCTCGTTGAGCTCGGCACATTGTTGTGCGTGAACGAACAAGACAAACGAAAACTGGTTGCCATTGAGCACTGCGATGTGGCAGGTCAGCCTGCAAACGACGGACTTGGCGCGTGTTGCTTTATATATGAGTCGCTTCAGGTGGAAAATGCGCCGGCCATTGCCAGGAGAGGACCAGACAACTACCTGTGCCTCGAGTAAGTCGACATGGCTGGCCCATGTCGCACGATGACGCGGCATATTCAGTAAAGGAATGAAGGCGGTTGACAAGATTACGTGTCGCTGGTTTCACACACAATGAAGGCTCCAAGCGATAGACCGCGTTGGCGACTCTAGTGTGGAGTGCCACACGTTCACAGGTGGGCAATAGATTTCTTGGCTAGCCAAAGTACCGAGGCAGCTTGTGCTCCATCAAAGGGTAAACATTGCTGCTAGCGAAGCATCCTACCCCTTGTGTGCTGGTGAATTTCATCTTCGTTCCTATGAAAGCGTGGACCAAGAGGTAAACTTCGGCACAGCACTCTCCACCATCCTGGACGTGGTTTTGCCATGCGAATTCGTACTCCAGGTTCGGCAAATTCGTGCAGTTTGGGCCGCGTGCACTAGGGACAGCACCAGTACAAGTATTCGCGTCGCGATCTTATGGGAGCTTCATCCCGCCGAGGCTTCCATGGACATGCATGCACACAGTGAAGAGAAAGGCTTGAAACGACGCCGCGTTATCTCAACAATTACGTGGGCATACATCGTCATGCATGCAACAAAAACGAAGGGCGCATGGCATCCCCGACTCAACGGGACGCGGCGTCTTCGGCGGCGTCGTCTTCGTGGAAATCGAAGTAAATCTTCTCGGGGGGAGCAAATCCATTGAAATGCGATCCCGCCGCGGACGTGTACGCGCCCATGTTGGCAAAGTAAATCCATTGCCCAATGTCCAAGACAGGCATGTCAATGTCCTTGGCAATGCAGTCCAAACCGTCGCACGTGGGGCCCCAAATGCTCGACGAGTACGTCGCCGACTCTAGTTCGGCGCCAAGGGCGACCGGATGGACGGCGGCGTGGTCATAGAGCAAGCAGTTGAACGATCCGTACAGCCCGTCGTTGACAAAATACATGTAGTAAGGGTCCGACCCTGCGTGGAGGGCGCGATGGCCGAGGGCAGCCTTGGCGGCCGAGGAATGGGAGGCGGGCGCCGCGAGCGAATTAGGCGCGAGCTTGCGTCCGATCACGTTCACGGCGAGCGTGTGGCTCGTGGCAGCAAAGAAGCGACCGGGTTCCGAGATGATCTTGACGCCGGACGACTGGGGAAAATGCGTCGACAGCGCCATGCTCAATGTGGCCGCGATATCTTCAAAGGCGATGGGGGCGTTAGCATCGCCTGGAAAGCCGCCACCAATATCGAGGAGCTCAAAGTTGAACCCGAGCGACGCGCCGATGTCAAACACCTTCTTCGCGCGGACGACGGCGTCCGTGTACGCCGAGGCGTCGGAGCAGCCGCTGCCGACGTGGAAGCTCACACCCACCACGTTGGAGCCAATGGCCTTGGCGTGCTTTAGAATGGCCGGAATGTCGTTGAGCACCGCGCCAAACTTGGTGCCCAGCGGGCATTGCGAGTGCGAGTCATCGACAAACAGCCGAAGCACGACGCGGGCATCGGGGTCGATGCGCTTCATCTTGGTGAGTTCGTCGCATCCATCGAACGTCATAAAGTCGATCTTTTGCTGCGCCGCAAACGCAATGTGCGAAGGTTGTTTGCACGGATTGGCGTAAATGATCGAACGCGGGTCGACGCCAAGCTTGAGAACTTCTTGGATTTCCGCTTGCGACGCGCAGTCAAAGCCGGTCCCGAGCCGCGCGAGCGTCTTGAGGATGCTCGGGTCCGGGTTGCACTTGACGGCATAGTACGGCTTGACGTACGGGAGGTACTTCATCCAGAGGTTGAATCGGTCTTCGACAGCAGACGTGTCGACGACGTAAAACGCGTTTTCTTCGCCGGTTTCGATATGCTGCCACAATTTGTTGAGCACAGATTTCTTGGCAACGATCGAGGATGCGGCGTGAAGCGCGACGGGGGGCACGTCGTCCGCAACGTCGATCGCGACGGCGGACGAGTGGTACGGAGCGGACCCGGCTCCTGCGCTACCAAGTGCTTTCGCAGCGCGAAGACGGTCACCAGCGACGGCAGCCCCAGCACGGGCTGACCGTGCGGCAACCGTGGAGGGTCCACTAGAGGAATAGAACGCAGCGCCATGAACAGGGGCGGTCTTGAACTTAAAGCAGCCCCTTGTCACCAGACCAGGCAGGCGAGTAAAGGGCAAAGAGGCTCGAATCATTTTACGTAAGCGATGCTATCGGCAAGGAAACCACTCAGGTTCAACGTTGAAATCAAACACCAAGCGGCGAGTGTGGAGGGGCGTGCTGGCCCCAAGGGTGTTGGGTTGGTCGGTCTCGGGTGGGATCTTGTGGGGGTCCAACGAGCTGAACAGTCAAGATCCAAGCGTACGGTGGCGAACTAGTGAGGCGAGAGGACGGCGGGTCTTCTCGAGCTAGCGCGACAAGCGATCTCGGAGCTTTCTTGAGCGTTAGGCAGCCAAATGGCAAGTGGCCCGATGCCGCGGTTGCACCGCCATGGGCCACCATACAAAAATCCAGTCAACCAAGAGTCTCCGAGGACTTGCATTTTATTTTATAAATCCCAGGTAGTTGAAACCAACCGACACCCACTCTGCGCCAGTCAAATCCAGGGTTCAACTTCTGTAGCCGCACCGGATAAAATGTTTCGTTATACTTTGTTCGTATGTATCGACCGGATACGGAAATTTCCCCGGGAATCGGGCATCAGATGCCACACGTGGGGCCGTGTGAGGAGGACGGACGACACAACTGGCTGGGATGCCGAGGCGAACTGAAGCTAGCGCATGCCATCGGACCTGGCCCTTCGTGCTCTTAGCTGGTTGGAACTCAAACGGAATTTTACGAAGTCGAGAAGCGAGATGGGCTCTTCGGCTCGCGCGTTGGTTAAACCAGGAAGATGGCACGCGACCACTTCATATTGGACACAAAGGAGGGTCCGAATGAGGTTACAAGGCACTGGATTGGCAGTGAACCTGTGCACAAACGTGTCACTGTTTCAACTTTGGGAAGGCGAGTGAAGGTTGGAAGGACATGGCAATTGGCCAGGGCGACTGTACCTGGCCGATGGACGAGAGCACACGAAGATGCGCGCGGTCGCCCAGCGTGCCCACAAAGCCCTCCGCGAGAGGCGCACTTTCATCTTGCCTGTTGTGGGCTGCAGCAGGATACAGGCAGTACTACTTGACATGGCCTTGGCCCGGCACTTTTCAGTTTCCAACTCAGACGGTGCACAAGCAGCACATGGTGGACGAGGTCGTCTGGGTGTTGCACCCACGCACGTCGCCGCTGCGTGACCAGTACTACTTTGCCCACGTGCTGAGTTTTGGCGTTTTAAATTTCGGTGAACACCAGGTTAAAACGTCGTTCTATTTTCCAACAAAAAATAGAACCCGCAGAACGTGGGGCTCGAAATCTTTGGGCGTTTCCGCCGTCCGTCCTTGAGCTTCATGTTGATGGGCGTGTCGGGGGTGACCGTCAATCTTTCGAACAAATGACGTGGCGCCACCCACTGCTTCGATGGGCACCAGGAATCGAATCGTCAAGGAAGCGGACAAATAATCGCAACTCGATCCGTTGGAAACATACCCGTGTCGTTGATCTTGCTGCACTCTCGACACAAAAGTTGTCGTTCGCGAGGTCCTGCTGCCATCGATGCGCCAGGCCATCCCGCCTTGCGCGATCAGCTGTCACAACAGCGAGCTCACATGCAAGCATTGGATGCTCCGCGATGGCGAATCACTACTCGGGAGTCTATCCAAACACCAGAGTTTGTACAACGTCCTTTTCATGCATCAAATTCAACGCCGCACACATCATTCGAAGTCCTCTTTCGCTTCCATGCAAGCACACGGTGACAAGTCGAGTGGCTGTGAAGGTGCATTGCAACGGGTCGCCGTGTAGTGAACGCCCAGCCACCACAGACTCCTTTGGCGTCCGGGATCACGCTCGATTACGGCTTAGCAGCGGGTCGTGCGCCTCTGGTTGCTGGAAGCCGTTGACCTCGTCATCTCTATTAGAGTAAAAGACTGAAAATCGTTGTGTAGACTTCGTGGGCCTTCATCACTCGGGCCACCAGAACGTCGATTCACCCAGATATGCGCATGTCGTACGACGTGGGTGCCTTTGGCCCCGACGTGGTCGCAAGCACCAGCACACCAAGCATTCTGCGTACGAGAATCGAGCAACTGGAAACCCTTCATTCGATCCGTGCCATCGTTCATGGGCATGCAACGTGGTTTCTCTGTTGGGCCTAGCGTAGCTGGTTCATTTCCACCAAGCTCGTCCATGTATATAGGTGTTAGTGGAGGCTCATCAATGATTTGTTCGTGGGGGTCAAGTATTCGGTGCACTTGCATAAGTCTCGGGGGTACTTGTCACCGACCAAAAAGTCGACGGCCGGGGCTTGCACCGAGAACGAATACAGCTACATGCACCACGATCCATGATCGCATCATCGGCAACAGCCATCGTACCTTGAGGCTGCCCCACCGAATGGACCCCGTCAGGTTTGTATTGATTTGAAATGTCAAATTGTTGTAATGAAAATCCTTCCACAGCGACATCGACTCGGCAAATGTACTGGGCTCGATCTTGACCATGGCCAACATCTACCACAGTCCCCGTGAGACACCAAGAGAGACCTCCGGGCATACATCGGAGACGGCGCCGGCTTCGGCCGTCCAATTCGAGATGGCCCACGTGCCGACTTTGATGCCGTTGTGGCTAATGTCAGCGACGCCGCTGTCCAAATGAAATGCAAAACGGTTCTCGTTCACGACGCTTGTGATAATCTGCGTGACGTGAAGTATATGCACACGCAGTGGCTGCTGACCTGGTAGTGAATCTTTGGCTTGATGCTGATCAAGCTGGCAAAGATAGACTCCCAATCAAACTACAATCCATCCAAAGGTCGCCATCAGGTCGACCGGTCGTGGAGGGGACCGACATTGCACCTGCTGATTGCAAATCTGGTAGTCTGGAACACGTGGGTAGTACATGAGCGCACATATCTACACCAGCGGCCACGTCACAACCTCGCATGAACACGACGGACTTACGGTGAAGCCCACGAGGCTGCCCAGCCAGATGGTTCGGCTGCACAAGGTGCCAAACGTGCTGCGAGGAGCTGGCTCTGGATCTACCGGCGCGCGAGGCGGGGTTTCATCACTCGAGCTGCCGCCTTCGACGTCGTCCACGGGACTCAACAGGGATGTTGTAGTGTCATTGTCAACGTCGGTAGCGGAGTGTTTCGCCCTAGAAACACATCGCGTCAACTGCCTCGAATTGCAAGAAGAACGATCCAAAGACGTACACATTGCGCCGAGAGGTTGCACGCGTGGCAGATCTCGCGCGTCCACGACGAATCATCCCAATAAGAACGGTGCAGCCACCCACGCAACACACTAACGTCGACACCAAGCACAGCACGCCAAGCACAACATAGCCGGGTGGCCCGTAGCCGACATACTCAGGGTCCTTTCGGACACAATCTACAGCGTTGTGTGTGACGATGGAGGACGTTGTGCATTCCAAGTTGCTGTACCTTCGATATGATGGCAAGTCGACATGCCCTTGATGCAGCCCGAGGTGGACCCAATGGCGTGGCATTGCAGGTCGTACTCGCAGAAGTGGCACGTGTACGTCTTGATGCAGTCATCGCACGACGTAATCGAGCTGCATGTATCTCCCACTGCAGGAATCGTCCCGTTCGCCATCATCACCAAAGCGAACGCGAGCGACAAGGCAGCCCTCGTTTGGTATCTTTGGGGCCGCCAATTTTTTATGGATCGAACACTGTCGATACCAAATTCAAGATATTAAATTCCATACGATTCTTCATTGTAAGTACGAAATCGAACTTACTGTACCTCAAGAACATCGGATTCATTCTTGCAGTTTGCCCGCACTGCTATAATTTATATCAAATATTTTACCAAACCAAGAGAATGGAGTGATTTTGCTAAGTAAAATTATCTGTGAGAAAATCACTGTGAGCACCCCACAAGTAAATTTGTTCGAGAAAATTCGTCGTGGGAAATTCTCACAAGACAAAATTTTTCACTGTGAGGACCGCTGCATAACACACGATGGACAGCGACACAGGCATCGATCAGCAGTCTTCCCAAAGACGAAAGACTGCGTTTCGCTTCAAGAGCGCCACGGATGTCGATCTTCTTAAGGAAGTTATTCATGTACGACCCTTTGAGGCTCCTCATGGTGCAGTTCGCAAGCGATGGGTCGAAATCACGGAGCATCTTCAGCAAATCTATGGAGACGGGGTCACAGTAAACGCGACCCGCAAACGGTTTGAGGACCTGATGACAGCATTTCAAGTCGAGACGATGGCATCCCTTCGCGCATCTGGCACTGACGAGGAATATGAAGAGCGGGAGCAACTTCTTCAGGA